CAGAAAACACATCAGAGTGCTGAAACTCTCTTTTTGAGTGCTTTCTTCAATTTTTTTGCTACAAAGACTTGGAGTCTTCTTCAAGTTCTTGAGGAACCTCATAGTTTCTAAGTATTGATCTCCTTAGAAACTCCTCAAGAGCACTTTTCAATCCTATTTCAATACCACCTAAGAGTGTTCTGAGAGTTATTTTCATACTTTCCCGAGAGTATTCAAGCCTCTAACCTTGGAGTCACTCTTGTCTACCGTCAAAGGGAGTGCTTTAAACGGGCTCCATGCTCTCAGAACAACTTGCATCAGACTCCTCTGTATCACTCTTTTCTCCATCAACCAGTAAAGTTACATACTCAAAGCCTCCAAAGCAGCTCGCAAACTACTTTTGGAGCCATTCTCCATCAAAAAGCCTTATTCACCTCTTGAGTCACTCATCCATCAACTATGTAATCACTCCTCCCACCATTATTCATTCGCGAAGTTCTTTATTATTATTTTTTAGATTTTTTAACATTTTTTTGCAGGAGTATTTTCATGATTTTGGCAAGAAAGAGGACCCTAGAACACGTGTTCTTCAACTTAATTTGGGCCTAAGCGAACCACACCACCGTCAGAAGTCTTACCATCATTGTCTACTTCGAAGGCTCGTTAAGTACTTTAGCCATGTCGAAATCGCCACCAATGAGTCAAATACTTACACGTGCACGCCCTCGCCACGCCATACCTTTCGGATCTACCAGACCCCAACACTAGTTATTGAAGTTTTAATGATTAATAAGTACAAAAAAAGAAAAAAAGTTAACCCTTTACTCTTATTAAATATTAGTTGCTTACGTAAAAAAATACTAGAAAAATTGGATTAACATACTATAAAAATATGTAAGGATAAAAATCATCTATGAGATTGAGTGTCAACAACTATACCGTGTGTAATCTAATGTATTGCTTGATGAATTGATGTTTCTTTTTTTTTTTAATAAGAATTACGAAATATGAAAGGATTGTATAACTCTTTATTCATATTAGCCACTTTAAAAAGATAAGAAAAAATATTAACTTTTTTTAAAAAAAAAAACCCAAAAGGTGTTTTTAATTCTTCTTTTTTTTGCACCTTTTTATGATATTTTTTTTAAAAAAAAAAGCCCATTGGGCTTGTTTAGGCCCAAACCGCCACAACTCGTCCGCACTTGTGCGCAAACCTCCCGCCCTTCCACGACTGTTAGCAGTTTCACCTACTCACAACCTAGAGGTGTTAAACGTACCGTGCCGGGCTGACACGTCACGCTTGACACCAGGCCCATTAAGGGCCTGGATGGGCCTGGGCCGTGCTAGGCACGGCCCTGCACAGTGCAGGGCTGTGCCTAGGCCGGGCCTGAGAAGAAAAACTCAGGCCCAGTCCAGGCCCTGGTCCATAAGGGCCTGGGCCCAGGCCCTTCACGGGTCGGCCCCGACCCTTGTATTTTTTTAATTTTAATTTAAAAAAATATATTATATGTCCCAAAAGATGTGATTTTATTGAATTGACGTAATAGGAGTACACATAAATGACTGTCTCGTTAAAAACCTTGCTAAGTAAAACCCGTGGGGAGATCGGGACAAAACCTTAGTGAAGGAAAAAAGAGTGCAGTAGCTAGGAATAATAAATTACAAACCTAAGTGCTTCCAGAAGATTCTGTTATTTCTAAGTTAGAAAAATATTCTTGCATCGAATTATCTGTGTATTGTTGTTTTCGTCTTCTGGCATCTTCCCAGTCTTTAACGCACATTAGTCCCTCCAAGATATTTGGATGCATTCTGCTTCTCTTCTCGTCAAGAATTCGATTGATTACGCTAAAAGCTTGCTCCGATGCTACCGTTGACACTGGAGTTGTCAGAATCTTACGAGCTATTATGGACAGTGTTGGAAAATGATCGGTCTTACTCCTCCACCACTGTAAGATGTCTAGTCTGTCGTCATCGATTACAAAATTTGTATCAAAATATTTGACTAGTTCCGTAGACGCTTGTGTTGAGGATGATCCTGTCGTTTTCTCTTTCTTCTTTAAGAAACTCAATGACGATCCTTTAGGCTCCGAACTGGTAGTTGACGACGAAGTTCCCTGTTCTTTTTTACCTGTGTTGTATTTTGCTTCATACAAACTAAAAATCTTTTCTAACATTTTCTTAGCGTCAGTAATACTTAGTTGCATATCTATTTCTAAATTCTCTACGGTAGCAGTCATCAATGATTCAGTTCCATCTACTCCACACCTAGGATCTAAAATGGTTACCAATGCATATAACATAGGACAACCTGACCAATAACTTTTAAATTTATTTTCCATTAACTTAACTATATTTCTAAAAAGTTATGTATCCCTATAATAAGAAAATGTTTCTGAAATATTAAATAGTTGATGTAAAGCTAAATGTGCAGTAGGATAATAAACTGCAGAAAGTAATTCAATAGCATTGTAAAAAACTTCTAGAAATTTAAAAAAATACTCAGCAATCTGCCAATCAGGATCGAAAATTAAAATTTGATCGTTCTTAATGTTTACGTATGTCGTGATAAGTTGTGAATACGGGAGTGCTGCCTTTAACATTAAATATGTTGAATTCTACCTATGTCTCACGTCAGTTGAAAAATTTCTTGGGCGCATATGACTGTTCCTGCAATATTGTTTGAATTCTTGGAGCTGAGTTCCAGAACTAGATATGAATGATAATGATTCTCTAATATTTGTAAGATTAGCTGAGATATGTTCAATTCCTGCCTAAACTACTAAATTAATTATGTGACATGCACACCGTTGATGAAAAATTTCTCATCCAAATACTGGTTTCAAACTACGTTTAAACAGATTAATTGCAGCTGTATTAGCTGACGCATTATCAAAAGTAATTGTTAAAACTTTATCTTCTATCCCATAAAACCCAAAAATTTTTATTATTGTACTAAAAATAGATGTTGCGTTATGAGGATATGGACATAAACGAAAACCAATTATTCTTTTTTGTAAAACCCAATCGTCATCAACGTAGTGCGCTGTGACACATATATATCCAGTTTTATTACACCCCTCCCACAGATCAGAAGTGCAAGAGACACTAGCATTAAAAGCCCTAAAATTATCAACAATAGATTGTCTCATTGCATAAAAACTTTCATGCAATCAGAACGAGTTGTGTTTCTACCTACCAGTTTAAATTATGGGGAAAAGGTTGTCTGGATGAATTCTTCGAACGATGCATCATCTGCAAAATAAAGAGGCAATTCGGCACTAGTTAGAAATTTAGCTAGTGCCTTACGAGCACGTTGTACATCGTATATAAAGTTTTGTAACCCCTGTGATGTGAGTGACAGTGTTTGTTGGCGGGAGTCCACACTCCCACCTTGGTGCAACGGTAGACATACTTTCTAATGTCTATCCAGATGACTAGTACCCCCACCCTTTTTATTAGAAAAGTGTTTTTTACAATTTTTACATATCACACGAATTTTCATCTCACCTGTTTTTGGATTTGGTCAGGGCTCCTCGGTGAAATACTGCCATGCTAAAAAAGTTCGCGGTCTTTTTCTTCTGCTGCGTTCTCCAGCTTCCTCGTTGTGTACTGAAGCATTATCCACCAGAGCATTTTCTGGTTCAGTAGGGGTGGGGTTGGGAGGCATCATTTCTTCCTCAAAAAATGCCTCATCACCAAGCTCAGGAAGAGCAATGAAATCAGGAAAGTTTGGTGTGGCCATTTTTTGAAAATTGATAAAACTTGATTGAACTTTGTAAATGAAAGAGCTAGAAAAGGAATGAACGCGAGAAAAAAGCTTAGAATCAAAATCAAAGAGACAAGTTGAGAGATAGAATGAGAGTGAGATGAGAAGTTGAGAGTGAATTGTTGTGTGAGGTTTATGGTGAAATTAAAGGGTATTTATAGGAAATTTTGAGGGTGAATTTCCAGATTTTAGGCTGTTTAGCCGTTGGGCCCTTCGCAGGCCCAACGTGCAGCACGTGATGGGCCAAACCGGAGGCCCGTCACATGCCAGACGTTAGGCCCGTAAAAGGCCCCCTGGACCAAATGAATGGCCGTTTCACGGGCTTGGGCCGGGCCGAACAAGGGCCAAATCAGGACTTAGGCCGGGTCGAACAAGGGCTGTGCCGCGAGCTTCCACGTGCTTGGGCCGCGGGCTGAGAAGCTGAGGCCTAGCCCTAGCCCATTACACATATCGTGCCGGCACGACCCGTAACAGTAGCGAACCGGGCCTTGCCGAATCTGACACTATTACGGACTGGGCCGGGCCGTCCATGGACGGCCCGGCCCATTTGACACCTCTATCACAACCCGCCCTTGAAAAACCTAACCCGCACCCTCCCGCTTGTGCACCCCTAGCTTGTAGCCCCCCTCCCACTCTAGCCGCCGATGCCAATGCGCGGCAACCCCCACCAGCGACCAACCGCCAACATCAAAACGCAACAACACCCACAACCAGCCGCCGATGCCAAACCGCAGCAACAGCCAGCTCCAAAGTGACGTGTTCTCCTTGGCCGCCCGCCGGTGTCGTTTCTTTGGGCCAACTTAGCCGCCGCCGGCGTCCTCGACCTTCTTCTCCATTCAAAGGATTTGTAATCTGGAAATGAGAACAATGTCGAAGCAGAAACAAATCTCAAATTAAGGTGATGTGCTCTTTACAGATATAGTAAAAACACCAAGAGTGGGAAACCCATGGAAGTAGAAAAAGAAAATGAAATCGCAGAAGATAAGAAAATAATATGAACATACTTGAGAAAAAGGAGGCATACCCGTGAAGATCTCTAAGGGTTGTTGGTATGAGTTCACACTATGGTTTAAACTAGCGATTTTGGTTTTGATTTTTAAAATTAAAATTTGTTATGAGAAAACCAAAACTACGAGTTTGCACTGCTAGAGAACCTATACACCAAGCATACACTAACAAAGAAAACTCGGTCAAAAACCAGGGAATTTTTAAGAGTTGATTTTACATATTTGCCCTTGAAAAGTGCGAAGAATTCCTGTCGTTTTTCAAAGGTAAGCTTTCAGAACGAGTCTTGTCTTGAAGCAAAAGGAAAGCGAAACCGAAACCGAAACCGGCAAGCAAAGCAGCGAAAAGGCGTAAAGGTTGGTCGTTTTTCTTTCTCGCATTCCAACACTGCACGCTTGGTATCACTTCCGCACACCCCTTGATTCTTCCATCGAACTCCACCATAAAAAGCTTGGAACTCGAAGCAATTCTTATTGGTCTGGCTTTGCAAGCACCGAACTTTCTTTCGTCACATCAATGGCGATTGTTGTTGAGATTCTTGTGGTTTTTCCGGAACATTGAGCAGTGTTTTCATCTGGGTTCTGGCTAGAAAATGGAATTGGATCTTGTTGGTTTGCTGAGAGCGGCTTGGGTCGCTGGAATTTTACCCATACTCATCGCTTCGTTGCCCTTTTCGTGGACGGCCTCGTTCCATGGACTTGTTTTGGGGTTCGCTAAGAGAGGAAAGATCATGCAAGCTTCATCAAAGGTCAGTCACTAATGAATAATGAATGTTCTATAATAATTTTACTTGATAGGAAAATAAAAACATTAGTTTTGTCCCTTCTTTTTGGATTATGTTCTTGTTGGTGTCAGAAAATGGGAAGAAAAAAGAGAGAAATTTGGTGAAGTGTTGTGTATCTGATGTGTTCTTGACAATGAAAACTGAGTATTTGCTGAAGCGATTTTCCCATAGAAGTAGCCAGAGAAGGGTACATGTTAATCGCTTGCCCTGATAAATGAAATTCGTTACTTATCAGTTTTGATCTTCTTTTCTTCTTCTTCTCTTTTTTTTTTTTTGTTGAAGAAAATCACACTCCTCAGAAGTTCTTGACCAATTTTTTCTCCGTTTAAGTTTCAGTATACTTTTTTGTTTTATATTATTTATTTTGTTGTGAGAAAATGGGGGAGAAGGTCAGGTGGATGGTGAAAGGGAAACTTTGTTGAACTGTGTTCTTTTGACCTGCTCTTTAATGGTAAAAATCTGAATAATTGTTGCATTTTATTTGTGTGTTAAGAGTTTATGTGTTGATAGCTTGCTTTAACGAGTTAAGATGCGTCCTCTTCTAAATTTTCAAAAGTGTAGCAAATCAAAATCTTATTCCTATGAAATTTGATTGTTCTATCTTACATTTCATGTTATTGTTGTCTTCTTCATGTTGTTAAATGAATCTCACCAGTTTTCTCTCTTTTTCTTTCGATATGAAGAAATTCACACTTCCTCAAAAGTTCTTCGGCCATTTCTATGTTGTAGCCGTGGTGTGGACGACATTTCTGCTCGTCACGACTTGGCTATATGCATATAGAACAGTGCCAATGGTTTTAAAGCCATTTCATTATACCACTATTGCCAACCAATTAGCAGGGGGTTCGCATATCTTTTCATGGCTTAAAAGTCATTCAACTTCGGTGGAGTATAAATATAGTATTTGGCGATCTGTTTTCCTGCTCTTGTTGATGGAAGTTCAAGTCTTGAGACGCCTTTATGAGACAATATATGTGTTCAATTACCGTTGTTCTGCTCAGATGCATATTGTTGGCTATCTGACTGGCCTCTTGTAAGTTTCTTGAAATTTGTGGGTTTCTGATAGTGGTTTTTATATATTATTTATTTATTTTTATTTTAAAGAATTCGTTAGTGAAAGGACACTGCTTTGAACAGTCAGAGCTTTATTAGTTTTGTATGTTTTGCATACATTTTTTGGATATATTTTTAATGTGATTTTGATTTAGAGTTGATGTTTGGAGACACGCACTATAAGTAGGGAGATACCCTACTGTAAAAAGCTCCTATATTTTTCTGTGCAATATCACTTGGAGAGTTCTCTGGGTAGGGTATGTATATATATATATATTAAAAAAAAACCTCCACCATATAATATTTTTCTTCCTTTCTTGAATTTTCGTATCTCTGTAAATTATGGAAGATGTTCTGCTAACTCCTTTTATTTTCTTAGCTAGTTTCTACACAGCAGCGCCTCTGTCACTTTGCTGCAATTGCGCTCCAGACGTGTATAAATTTGTGTTAAATGGAGTGGCTGAGTTCATTGTTAAAGGCAAGAGCCACATGCCATCCATGGAATTTGATTGGTGGGAATTCACGATTCCACTTGTGAAGCTTGGGTGGCTCCAGTGGATTGGTGCAGCAATATTTTTCTGGGGTTGGATTCATCAACAACGCTGTCATGCTATTCTCGTATGTCTCACTGCTTAAAACTTTCAATTCTTTTATGATTTAGATTCAACATCATCGGTTCATTATCGTTATGGAGAGTTTGGAAAGATGAGTCATAGTTCACATTGTCGCATAATTACTTTCTGTCAAGCTTATATTTGTTTTATGATTTAATTCTCCTGTTTGTATAACGAATTATTTCATCAGGGCTCACTCCGAGAACGCAGAGACCAAGTAGATGAATACATAATACCTCATGGTGATTGGTTCAGAATTGTCTCATCCCCTCACTATCTGGCTGAGATTGTAATTTCTCCTTCCGTGTCTCTCATGATTTCCTATTTCCATCGATTCCTTAAGCTTTATCAAGGCTTATTATTTTCTTGTTTCTAATGATAGCTTTGACAACAACAATGTAGGTATTGTACTCTGGTCTTTTGGTTGCAAGTGGAGGAACAGACCTTACAATCTGGTTACTTTTTATATTTGTGGTAAGTATTCTATTTACTGACACTTGTGTTTACACACTCACCAAAAGCAAATCACACAACAATTGCAAAATCTCCCTGTAGTATGCTTTCCTCGTTGTATTTTGATACTCTTTGAAATGCCTTTTGCAGGTGGCAAATTTAGTGTTAGCAGCAGCAGAAACACATAGATGGTACCTTCGAAAATTCGAGAATTACCCTAGAAATAGGCTTGCCATTATTCCATTTGTTTACTAAAGCACAAAGGTGCAGAACTTTGTAAAGACTGTTACTCGAGAGGTTTTGGATTCTTGTAACATCACATGATGTACTTTATCTTTGCTTATGAAAGTATGGTTGCTGCTCTCACTAAATCCTTGAACAGGATTTGCACTGCTTATTTTCGCTTCACAGAATCAAGGATTAGGACACAGCATTCTTGGATCATAATAAACCCCAAGCATGCACATATAAAGCAGCAACAACTAACATGGGAATTCTACTGGAGTATGAAGAAAGTAAATACTTTTTTTGAACTGTCGAATTTGTATTAGATTCTGTCAGTCTTTACACACTTATATCGTTAAGGGAAACGCACTACTGATCCCTCTTGTCGAAAGCTCCCAGCAGAAAGCTCCTTATTGATAATGCGAGGAAGGTTTTTGAATCATATGCATTTTGTTATTGGCTAATACAAAAATCAATTTAGCCATTTAAGATCACTTTATTTGTATTTTAAAAATGCCAAATTTATGATTATTGTTTCATGGTCGAAATAGTATACGGTAAACTGCTAAGTGGTAAACTAGATGTATGTTTGAGTAACTTTTCTATGCATCAAAACGGGAAAACGGTTTGAGCATTTATTTATCCTCTAGTTTTAGCTGAGACCGAACTTCAAACAGGGAATATAAAGTTCAAACGGGGGAAAAAAAGTGATGAGAAATGATAATCTCCACACAAAAAAAAAAAAAAAAAAAAAAAAAAAAGTGATGAGAAAGGACATAATAATCACCATGCAAGCTCCCCCCACTCTCTTAGTTTTCGTAAATAATAGGACAGGTCGTCATTAATGCATCAAATGAGCCTTTAGTTTTCGTCTAAACGCTTCGACAATAGGACAGGTCCAAAAAATGCCTAATAGCTCACATAAAAGCTCCCCCCACTCTCTTATTCTTACTAACAAACATTCGGGAAGGCACAGAAGTATGCCCATGTTTATGCATAGAGGTCCATGCCCCATAACTTAGCAGGTTGATTGGTCCGGTGTTTCTTATCCACAGTTTTGATCAAATCCATGTCCTCTTTGGTAAGCTCGAAGTCGAAAACTTCAAAGTTCTCCTTCAATCTCTCGACTTTTGACGACTTTGGAATGACAAACGTGTTCCGTTGAATGCCCCAGCGGAGAACGATCTGGGCCACGGTCCTGTTGTATTTCTTAGCAAGATCCTGACGTGATGAATGAGGAAACACAAATTCTTAGCAAATAATATCGGAAAATAAGCATTATTTTCTTGAAGATCAAGAAAAGCTGGCTGACAACTGAATAATTTCTGAAACACCTAGTAATATCCAGTGAAAAAGTCTTTAGTTCACTTCAATTTGGTGTTCAAAAGTGGCTAACTTGGACAACCCTATTTTGAAAACGGGCTACCTAGTGTGTTTGTTCTTGTCCTAATCTGTTTTAACGTTTTCGAAATCATAAGAACAAAAACAAGAGTACAACCATCCTTATTTATTTTACCTTGAGAACAGGATCATCTAGGCATGAAACTGAGCCAAACCATTCGATGTTGGCAGCAGCACCTCCGAGAGGGGTGTGGGCCGTGACACAAATACCATGCTTTTGACAGAATTTCACCAGAGAATCACGCTGGAAGTAAGGGTGAGTTTCAATCTGGTTCACAGCAGGCTTAACTTTGGAGTAAGCCAAGCAATCTCTGGTTAGAAAGATGTCACAATTGCTGCAAATAATTGTTTATAACTATCAGAACAGAACTCCGAATTCTCAAGAGAATTGTAACTGAAGAAACTCAAAAAAAAAAAAAAAAAAAAAAAAAAAAAAAAAAAAGAGGAAAATAAGATGGATCCCTTAACAGGACTAGTGACATATATTACATGCATAGAAACTAGGAGATCTGAGGATTTAAAGGTTTTTCAAATAGCGATACTTACGAATGAAAACATTAGTTTATTTCACAGTTCACTATCAATTCTCAAGTTTCAGCATACCTAGAGGTTCACTCTCCCTGCCCCGACCCCATGCAACTCGGTTATCAAGATCTTTGACAAAACCATTTATAGAAAATTCCACCCTTTCTTGTGTTACTCATGCATTTAGTCAGACATTGCCGTTCTTCCTTCACCGGTGTTATTATTACAATCTGCCTGATCAAATTCTTCCACTTTTGTTTGCACAAAGTGCAATTATACACTATTGCATAGTGCATATGAATCTTGACGCGGAACACAATGATAAATTACGAACCTACACTAGAAGGCGTTCGAGGAATAATTAAGAATTAGGATTTTGTATTTTATTATTTTTATATTTTGTTATTTTGTAAAAGTTGACAACTTGGCAACTCATGCCAAGTCATACTTAGTTGTCATGTGCTAGCCTATTTTGTCATTTTGTGCAATTTATTGGTAACTTGTGCCAAATCATGCCTAGTTGTCATTTGCTAGCTTACTTTACTAGAAACCAACTTGGCCACATGTGCCAAGTCATTCTTAATTGTCATTAGCTAGGATCTAGTATGACCAACTTGTAAGTTAGTTGTCACTTAAGCCACTTGTGCTAAATTGCCTATCTATAAATAGGCCATCTTCTAACATGGAAAAACAAGTCATTTGGTTATGAAATATACATTCTTCTTCTCCTAATATTCTTGTTCTCTCCCTAAATGTTCTCTCATACTCTCTTCTCTTCCTCAAATTTTTAATTTTTCTCCACCAATTTCTCTTTTTCTCTTCTCTCCTCTAAATCTTAACTTGTCTACATCAATTTTGGTATCAGAGCTTCGTTTAAAATCCTTTTGGTCTAAATTTTCAATTCCCAAATTTCACAAATTCAAAATCCCCCAATCCTAGACCTAAGTTTTTCAATTTCAAATCTTTCACAATTTCCTCTTAGGACCAAAACCAAAAGTTACAAACCAATGTATAGTCTACATACTCCTAACACACACACACACACACACACACAAACAAAAGGGAAAGAAAACTGTCACTACCACCGGAAGTCTAAGCGCTACCATCTCTTTTGCAAGTTGTAGCAACTTGCACGCTACTGGTGTCTTTCTTTTCAATTGGCCTTGGCCAAGATTTACAAAACAAATGCCATAATTGTAACTTTGCCGCTGACCATGGATTCGCTTCTCAATCTCCTTTCAAGTTGCAACGGTTGCAGTTCATATGTCTTGATTAGATCTACTTCTCGAGGTTCTTCTTGTGCCTTAAGTTCTGTTTCTGTTACTTTATATTGATTTTTGAATGAAGAATAAGAATTCTTTTCATTGATCTTGAATGATACAGTGGCCGAATATATATACAAGAGTCTCCTAATATTTGACCTTATTTTTAGAAACTAAAAGCTAATTCCTAGGCTAATCAAATCAAGAGAATATCAGGAAATATATTACCTAATTTTCTTAATCAACTAAATAAGGAATGGTTGACTAATTATAGGTAACCTACAGCTAGGAAATAATACAAAATCCGGATTTTCAACATTCCCCCTCAAACTGGGTAATAGATGTTAATCATTCCCAGTTTGATGTTTAAATCCTCAAAGTTGGATCTTGGAAAAGCCTTGGTCAGAATATCGGCTATCTGGCATTTTGTTGGCGTGTACTGCAGCAAAATTACCCCATCTTCTATATTCTCTTTGATGAAATAGCGATCAATTTCCACGTGTTTGGTCATGTCGTGATGAACAGGATTCTTGGCAATACTTATTGTAGCTTGATTGTCACAAAACATGTGTAAGGGCTCTTCATCTTGAATTTTGAGTTCCTTCAAGAGTCTCTTAAGCCACATTCCCTCACAAATTCCATGTGCCATAGCTCTGAACTCGGCCTCTGCACTGCTTCTTGAAACCACTGTCTGCTTCTTACTCCTCCAAGTGACCAAGTTTCCCCATATGAAGGTGCAATACCCTGATGTGGATCTACGATCAGTGATTGAGCCCGCCTAGTCTGCATAGGTAAAGATTTCTATTTCCCGGTTTGTGTTGTTCTTAAAGTACAAGCCTTTGCCCGGAGTCATCTTGAGATGCCTTAGAATTCGGTAGACAGCCGCCATATGTTCTCTCATGGGACTATTCATGAATTGGCTCACAACACTTATGGAAAAACCAATGTCAGGCCTAGTGTGTGAGAGGTAGATGAGTTTCCCGACGAGTCTCCGACATCTCTCTTTGTCAACTGGTGTATTGTTCTCTCTATGTCCTAGTTTAATGTTTGGATCCATAGGCGTATCTACAGCCTTGCATCCGAGCATTTCGGTTTCTTTTAGGAGATCTAGAACATAATTTTGTTGAGAGACTGATATTCCATCTTTCGTCCAAGCTACTTCCATTCCTAGGAAGTATTTGAATGTTCCTAGGTCTTTGATCTCAAACTCTTTAGCAAGAAAGTTCTTCAGTCGTTTCATTTCTTCTAAGAAGTCCCCTGTAAGAACAATGTCGTCGACATAGACAATGAGAATGGATGACTCCCCTCGTACTGATCGTTTGATAAAAAGAGTATGATCCGCCTGACACTGTATATACCCAAATCTCTTACTGTTTCAATCCATACAATGGCTTCTTGAGTTTGCATACTTTATTATTTGTTGCTTGAGTTCCAAAACCAGGAGGAATCTCCATGTATACTTCTTCCTCGAGATCACCGTTGAGGAAGGCATTCTTGCCATTAAGCTGGAATAATGGCCAGTCTAGGTTAGCTGCAAGGGAAAAGAGAACTCTAACAGTGTTGAGCTTGACAACCGGGGCAAATGTTTCCTGATAATCAATACCATAAGATTGCACTAATCCCTTTGCAACTAGTCGAGCTTTGAATTGTTCCACACTTCCATCAGACTTATGTTTTATAGTGAATATCCATTTGCAGCTCACGGGTCGTTTTCCTTGTGGCAAGTCAACTATCTCCCAAGTATTGTTCTTTTCTAAGGTCCGAACTTCTTCAATAATAGCTGTCTTCCAGTGTGGTATCTTAATGGCTTCATAAATGTTGTTGGGGACCTGTATCTTATCAAGATTGGAGACAAAAGCACAATATTCTGGGGCTAATCTTTTGTAAGACAAGAAGTTATAAATAGGATGATTTGTGCAGGATCTCACTCCTTTTCTTAAGGCAATGGGCAGATTATCATGAAGCTCGTGAGTAAAAGAATCAGGTTGGGAGTTACCTTGTGGAACTTCTGAAGGACTTGGAATTGGTTCCGACTCTTGGAATTGCTCAGGAAGTGCTCGTTGTCCTGTCTCCTTTAGATGCCATTTCTTTATGGAATAAACACGGAGCGCACTATTTTTAGCAGGCGGGTGCTCTGAAGGTGATGGAGATTTGTTTAGTGATTCTTGAGAAGGGTTCTGAGGAAGAACAAGACTATGATGAAGAGCTTCAACAGGAGTCTCGAGAGGCTGGATGATAGGATTAGGAATACTTGAAGAATCAAGGGTGCGGAGGTCATGATAGGGTTGAGTTTCAATGATATCCCAAAACTGATGTTCTTTAGATGTACTCTCCCCCTGAACGTTAGTTTTGGGATAGTAGGATGTTATAACCCTTGGGTAGAACTCATCCCCAAAAGCTAGCTTGTAGGGAGAGGGTGCCCAAATGGTTATAAACCCACATGCTAAGCCCATACTTTAGCAATGTGAGACTCAACCAGGATCCTACAATTGTTATAACCCTTGGGTAGAACTCATCCCCAAAAGCTAGCTTGCAGGGAGAGGGTGCCCAAATGGTTATAAACCCACATGCTAAGCCCATACTTTAGCAATGTGAGACTCAACCAGGATCCTACAATTGTTATAACCCTTGGGTAGAACTCATCCCCAAAAGCTAGCTTGCAGGGAGAGGGTGCCCAAATGGTTATAAACCCACATGCTAAGCCCATACTTTAGCAATGTGAGACTCAACCAGGATCCTACAATTGTTATAACCCTTGGGTAGAACTCATCCCCAAAAGCTAGCTTGCAGGGAGAGGGTGCCCAAATGGTTATAAACCCACATGCTAAGCCCATACTTTAGCAATGTGAGACTCAACCAGGATCCTACAATTGTTATAACCCTTGGGTAGAACTCATCCCCAAAAGCTAGCTTGCAGGGAGAGGGTGCCCAAATGGTTATAAACCCACATGCTAAGCCCATACTTTAGCAATGTGAGACTCAACCAGGATCCTACAATTGTTATAACCCTTGGGTAGAACTCATCCCCAAAAGCTAGCTTGCAGGGAGAGGGTGCCCAAATGGTTATAAACCCACATGCTAAGCCCATACTTTAGCAATGTGGGACTCAACCAGGATCGTAACATAGGACTGCTCCTCAAAGAAGGTGACATCCATTGAATTATAGAATCTCCTTGTGACAGGTGAGTAACATTTATATCCTCTTTGATTTGATGAGTACCCAAGAAATATGCAATATATTGCTTTAGGATCTAGTTTGCTCCGGTATTGGGATAAACATGAACAAAGGCTGAGCATCCAAATAACTTTGGAGAAATGGTGGAGATTATACGACTTTCTGGATAGGCTTTGAGAAGGACTTGACTTGGAGTTTGGAAGTTTAGAACACGAGATGGCATTTTATTTATAAGATAGGCTGCCGTAAGGACAGCTTCTCCTCAGAAGTGCTTTGGAACATGGGAAGTGAACATCAAAGACCTAGCAACCTCAAGAAGACGCTTATTCTTTCTCTCAAAATCCCATTATGTTCATGAGTGTCAACACAAAAA